CAGCAATCGGCCCTGGGACTTGTGCGCCTCCTACAGGCGGCTGGCGACGGCGACGCGAGGCTCTACACGCTGAGGGTTTCCACGGACTCGATGGGTTCGGGATCGTCTCGGGGTGCAGGGGTGCGGGGACGTAGCCTCCCGCCCTCCCTCAGGAAAATGGAGGTGGGTTTGATTTTTTTTTTTTCTCCTGGGCCTTGTGTCGCTTGTTTTTCGTTTTTTTCATGGCAATGATCGCGGCGGTGTGTAGCGCGTAGCGTCCCTCGTTGTCGCAGGGGATTGGGGGGGGGGAGCGTCCTGTTGGCGCCCTGGCTTTCTGAAGATTGATTGTTTCTCTTCTTTTTGCACTCCTAGTACATGCTAGTACATGCTATATAGTACATGGTGGTGTTCAGTCCATGGTGAAAGTATTACGTGGCGTACGAGGCCGACACTAGCGCGGTGCCTCGCGTAGACAGTTTCAGAATCGGGGGCACCTTGTGGGGAGAGCGGAGCTTCAGTTTGTCGCCTTTCGAGCGAAGATGGACGACCGTGTCTCTATTTTTCCGACAGCTATGGAGATATTGTCGGCAAGAAATCGCCAGTGGAGGAGGGGCAGAACACCGAACGCCTCGGCGGCCGCTCTATGTTTACTTCTTTTTTCTTGTTGTTGAGCACCATTTTGCACGCCTCCAATCAAAATTACCGGCAGTGAAAGGCAATAGCCGCAAGTTGGCACTTGATCTGCAAGCATCTACTGCGGAAAATGTTTGTTCTGTCTTGATCGTTTTCTCTTCAATATGCCATCGGTCAATATTGGTCGTTTTCTCATATCAGGTGTTCGTCATTTGCTATCTATCCCCGGGGCAGGCAGCAACCTTAGCCCCCCTACTTTTCATCAGCCCTTCATTTCGTGTTTTTGTTTGTGTTTTGTACTTTTTTCGTGGAACTGCTGTATCGGCAGGGGGAGCTCTTGCCGGTGTGCCTCCTGTCGAGCATTGTCCGCACGGCGGAGAGGGACGAGGAGGCCGACGGCCCACCCGAAGGTGTCGCGAACAACAACAACCGCTCCTGTGAAGACGGCGGCGCCATGTTTCCCCTGGACGTTGAAGACGACGACGACAATGCCGATGAGGACGCCTACATGGCGGATGAGTTTGATCCGGCGGGACCCCCAGAAGGGGACACAGACGACGACAGCGACGACGACGACGACGACGATGACGATAGTGAAGAGGACGACGAGGACGAGGAGGAGAGCGATACTGAAGACATCACGGACGAAGGATCGATTACCCTGAGCAGCTGTAGCGGTGGCGGGGACGGCGGCGGCGTGCCATCGCCCTACTACGCCTCGGGCGTCAGCCAGCGGTTCGCCGCCGCCGTGAACCGGCGACCGGCGACGGCGGCACCACCGTTGTCGTCATCGGCGCCAGCGCCTTCGGCGCAAGTGGCGGCGGCGGCGGCGGCGACGGCGCCGATGGTTATGTCGGTGGACAGCAGTCACTGGGCCGGAGCAACGTCGACAACGGTAACAACAACGGCCACAGCATCATCATCAACGGCCTTTTCCGCCGCCGGCTTACCCTGCTTTTCAGGCGGGAGCGTGAACCTCACCCGCTGCAGCAGCAGCAACAGCTTGCCGGCAGTGACGGCGGCCGCCGCCGCTGCCGCCCCCGCTTGGCGTGGTCGCAGCGCCAGCGGCGACGGCATCACCTGCCGGGTGTCGAGCGCGCCGCTTGCCGCCGGAGGCGGCGGCGACGGCGCGGGGGGGGGGCAGCAGCTGCTCTCGTCTTCCTGCCCCCGCGACGCGAGCTGGTTGGTGACAGCCGGCGGAGGGAACAACCACGGCGGCACCGGTAGCAGCTACCCCTCTCTCTCCACCATTCACGACCACCGGAGGAGCCAGCGGCCGTCTGCGGCGGAGCGACAAGCGCAGGCCGCCGTCACCGCTGCCGCTTCCGGGGTCCTGAACGGCGGCATGTGGGAACACGTGGCCAGGAGCTGGGGCGAGAACGGGGTCGGGCGCGGCCTGGTAGATTTCTTGAGGTCGACCACCGGAACGAGGTCGGAGGCCTTGTTGTGCGGGTGGGCGGGGATGCTGCCCCCGGCGGAGCAGGCAACCTTGACGGCTCTCCTTGACAAGACTTCGTAACACTCCGGGAAGCCTTCTTTCCGTTTGACGGCCCCGGCTCTACTTGGTACAAAGCGCAAGGCTTGTTGTGGATTCCTTTTGGTTTTTCTTCTTCCTCGGCCTTCAGACGTGCGTGGTGATGTGGAATGCACCTTGCTCCACTCATGCTGCCCAGATTATATCAGACGGGGTGCTTCCTAGCCGCTTGCTCACGCCCTAATGGCCGATTACCCCGGGAAGGAACAGCGTAAGAGCTAGATGGTGCTGAGGTTCGGCGTGTTGACACGGTTAGATGTCGGCTTTTCCCTGCAAGAGTTGGACGGTTGTTGCTTTATCTGCGATTTTTGAACTACTTTTTCGTCATGCCGTGTGTGTGTAATTGGGAGTTTAGATTGACGTGGCTGCGTGGATTCGCTTGTTATTCAAGCATGCATGTGTGATGTTTGGTGGCTTGCGCTGTGGCGGCTGGTTGGCTTCACCAAAGGGTGCGAGGGACGGGGAGCAGCTATCTTGTGTAGTTCAGTGGCGGTGGTGGTCTTTTGGAGACCCGATGTACATTTCCTTTGTTGTTTTTGGCGCCTGCTCCTGCTGTTTCTCGTACCGATATTGTTTTTTTTTTTTAACATAGTCTATTATCCAGTGTTTGCATAAATGTAGATGCATTTTTTTTTGTTCTGGCGCCTGCAGCTGTATGTCGTCCGAAGGGCTGTTTTTCTTGACATCAGACGTAGATTTAACCGATGTATATATTGTTTTGTTTGGGCGCCTGTATTGCAGGGGGAATGGAGGCAAGTGTCGTTTTTGTAGTTGGTGCCCAGCACGAATGAATCGAGGTTCAACTAACTAGCGTTCCGTGCGGGGTCGGTCGGCGGGGCGAAGTGCGTATCCCATCGTGGGAAAAGCTGCGTGGGCGAGGGCAACGTTGTTGTATGCGCCCCCCCCCTCCCCCCTCCCCCCTCCCTCACACTCCCGCGGTGACCCTTTTGCCACCAGCAGACCAGACCAGAGTTCGGGAATACGGTTGAGTGCACATGCAAAGTTTACCCTCTTTCTGTCTATGAGTGCAACTCGCGGCAATCGCTACCAGAACAAGAGAAACCGGAATGCTCCGGGGGCGTTGATTGGTTGGGCGTAGCGGGGCGACTGCGGCCGGAAGTGCTGTTAATTTTTTTTGTTTGTTTGCCTCGCCAGTTTCGTCTGTTTCCATGTTGCCCGCAGCAGGCTAGAACCCAGTTGGCAGCACTGGGCGTGGTGTTCCGTGCACGCCGGAGGCAGCTGTCGTAGTTTCCGGTGGTAATAAGTCTATTTGCGTGTGGCAAGTGTGCCCAAGCCTAGGACTAGCCCTATAACCTGAATTGATGTCACTTCGGGCTTTCGCCCTTTCCTTCAAGATTTGCAGTTAGTTGTTTCGCAACAGCAGCAGCGGCAGCAGTAAGTTGCGTTTGGAAATCCACAAAAAAGAAGGAAGCGCGCGGTCGATCCATCCATAGAGTGTCTCGCACAACCGCTTGGTTGGGTTGTATGTGTCCGTGAGGACTGGTGTTGTCTAGAGAGGGGGCGGGTGAGAGAGGGGCGGTGGTGCAGTGGGAACAATTTTTTGCTCTCATCTGTAGACTTGGTTGGATTGCAGAGTACTCCCCATTTATGATAGATTTTTGTCCAATTTTCCCATCATCTTGTTCCTCTCCTACAGCAGTTTGTTACTGTTGGCGGTCAGGTATTGTCCTTCGTCCGTGTAGAATGAACGCGCGGGGTACGGTAGATGTACACGACGGGCCGGGGTGCGGTGGGTCATCGCGAACGGATAGTCACCGTGGTGTCCTTGAGGGCGCCAGTGCCACTATCTCTACTACTTCCCGCGTGTGAACGACGTGCCTTGCGTGATTGGCGTACCCCCCGTTGGGCAAGCTGCTGACTATTGGCTCGACCACGCAGGCCAGGTAGTCTAGAGAAGGAAGAGGATCGGGGGCGCGTGGACACTTGACACCCTGACAGGTGTAATACCAGACCTTCAGCAATATGCTAGCGCCGGAGAGTTTGTTCTACCTACATTTGCGAGTGACTTTGTTTAGACTATCTAAATCTACAGGAGACGAGGAACATAAACACCAGACGCTGCATTGCCGTTGTGCCCATAATATCTGTCAAATGTCGAAAACTCGTTTATTCCGTTTTTGGGGGTATTGAGCGTGTTCAGGTGACACGCTCTGGTGCAGTTGCTCATCGGTCGTGTGCGTGGGTTGGAGGTTGCGGGGTGGCTGTTCAGACGATATCTGGCGAATGGTTTCCGTTCGCGTCTATATCCCGCCCGAGGGAGATGCGTCGCCCGATGCATGCGTGTGTGGATGCACCAGCTTCTGTTGGTGGTCTTGTCAGAAAATTGAGGAAGCAGACGGGAGACAGAGAGAGGAGAGAAAGAAATTCCGACCGGTGGAGAGTGAAGTCAACACCAGTTTTGTCGGAGCGCACCCATTCTCTATTCTCGTCCGCTGCTCCCCCGGTGTGCGGAGTTCTGTGTCATTGCCATTGTTATCTAGTGGTCCGATGTGTTTTCTATGGATGTGTGCGTTGCTACGGGCGAGACGGGGGAGCGATGTGGCAGGCTGGTGCGTCGCCCCGCTCAACAGGGAGAGGTTGACCTGTTTTCCAAAGGCGTGGCCAAAACGGGCGCGGACCGCACGGCGGACGGGCCTGGAGTGCAGTTGTAAAATGACGGCTGTCTACAGTATTATTATGTCGTTTTTTTGCCGCCCCCTACAAGAAGAGCTGCGGGTATGCTTGATTAAGATTTATGTGTTGTGTAGGATCGACAAGAATAATGGAGGATATGGATGTATCTGGCGGAATGTGAAGTGAAGAGCAAAGGCACTGGCAAAAACATTTGGGGCAAACAAGCCAACCCTTTTTTGTGGCTAATCTTCAGTTGCCATGTTCCCCCACGGCAGCGTGGACTTGAGCTACAATCACAACGGGTGGGTCCGGTGGGTGGTTTATCCATACATATGCGACCGCATGACAGAACATGGGGGGGCTGTACGTGGGACCCCACCGGGCCGTGCAGGCGGCCGGCGCAGACGGACGCATCAACCTGCCGCCACTTGCTGGACATGATGAACTTCATTCTTAGAAGATGTAGTACGTGAAACCAAAGAGGGACTTCTATTAATCCTGCTGTATTTGTACCCATTTGAGGTATAACCTACAGTCTTTGGGGACCCATTTTGCGTTTCAACATTACTTTCTCAGCGCGACGTGCGTCGGCGGAGTTGGTTGTCTCTTCACAAGCGGCAAGCGCACAGAGAGTTGCTCGAGGTGGATCAGAGCCCGGCACAGCAGGTATAATTCTCAAAGAACCCAACGGGTGGCACTGAAGACATGCATGATCCATGCTTGACCTGCTAACGAGTTGTTGAGATCTTGATAGATCCTAGGTTTTCTTTCGATATATCGGAATGCATAACGATAGCAAACGAACAAAAGGATTGAATGAAAATGTAACGAGTGAATGCTGTCCGCTCTGTACCTCTAAAAACATGAACGTGTTGTGAAAAATTGACGCGGGATTCGGCGAAAATGGCCAGAAACGCGGACGACCTCCCAGCGTATGAAGCCATGTTTCGCGCGGAGCGCGGAGTGCTTTTCGACGAGTTTCTCAACAACTCTCGGTTGCTCGAGGTGCTGGAAACGCGAATAAATGTGAATCATTGGCCACGCCAGATCTTGAAGAAGCTCGTGCGAGCCGATGTTTCGCAGAAGTTAACATGTCGGGTCAAAGGATGCAACCGGGGAAGGCGGATTAGGGAAAGGGTCTGCGTACCCTTTCCATGTTCTAGAATACATCCTCATTCATAGTTCGCGAAGGCGGGATGCAGAGGTGCCGGGTACAATATCTACCTCTGCAAGAGCGTCGCGAAAATCGACAAGTCTTTCACTCGACAAGGGGAACAGCAACGAATCATCTCCACATCCAACAACGAAAGTACTGCTTTCCACGAAGCTTCGCCGCATCGTTGTCAGTGAACAATTTGCAATCGTTGCCCTCCTTGCCTTGTCAACGCTGTTCACCGAACAGACACACCAATCCAATTTCTACACGCCGCCTTATGTTTCCATCAACGTCGATTTTCGCTTTGTTCCACGACAATGGCTTGATTCTGGCAGAATCCACGCCTTCATATCTATGCCAAACCACCCGCGACGGATCCCACTGCCTCCAAACACACGGACCCGGCGGGTGCGGTATCACCCCGGCCCATGCCCCCCGCGAAATTTCGCGCATCTTTATGAGATCCCTCAACACGAACCACCTGGGCACAGCACGCACTCCATTTCTCGCCACTCGCCGACAGAAGAGGCATTGCCCGTATCACGTTTACTATCTGGGTGATGACCAGACACACGAGTAGATGTTTCTGGAAGTAGAGACGAGCCAAGAAATGAACACTGCTGTAGAACTTCGGGATGGCGGGGGAACAACAGCACTCGCAGTGTGTAGCGGACGCTAGGCACAACCCTTCCTTCTCCCGCAAAACAAAGACATGCAGAGGGAGAACGACGCTTGAAAAGCAAAGACGGGCGCTCCCGAACCCGCACCTCGAATGAAACTTGTTTAGCTTTGACTTTCAAACGCTGATGCCGGGAAACAGCACCCCAAGCACATTAAGTTTGCACCAACGGCGCCGTGTTCTGTGGTTATTGTGGGTGGCAGAAGCATGCTGTCTGCGTCATTCCCCTACGGCTGACGCGCCCCACAAATAGCACCAAGAGGATAGTTAAGACTGACGCCCAGAACTAGCCAGAGAGAGATACAGAAAATGACACGATTGCCTGTATAATCATTGCCGGGAAGACAGGCAGGTCAGCCTTCGTTTCTCCCTCCGAAACAGCTTCTCTCCTGAGCTGCTCCGTTCCGGCTACATTGTATGCATACGACTACTACGACGAAAGACTACTCTCCTTCTTGTTGCTGCTGCCCTTGCTCTTCTTCTTCTTCTTCTTCGTCGCCATGCCGTCCGGGGCGTCGTACTGGGCCTCGAGCTTCTTGCGCTTGGCCTTGAGCCGCTCCACCTCCTCGCGACGCTTGCTGAGGCCGTGCTGCATGCGCCCGTACAGCCGCTTCGCCTTCTTGGACATCATGTTCTGCAGTCCACGTGCGACGTGTCGCCAAGGCGAGGAGTAAGTTGCGGTTGGTCCTTTGTGTTTGAACGAAAAATGTTATTGGTTGTTGTTGTTGTTGTTGTTGCATATTGGCAAATATATTTGTGTGTGAGTCCCATATATTCTGGCGCCGATTTGCAGGCCTTCCGACGCGTATACCTGACGTAACAGCCGGGGTCACACAAGCGGAAGAAGGTACACGGGAGCCCTTCTTCATTTTTAGGCTTAAAAAGTACAACCGACGTCCGTAATTTGTTCGTGGGCGTGAGACACGTGTGTCCAAGAGCGAAGCCAAAAAGAAGAGGAGGGAAGCGATGCCGCGAAAAGGGGCGAAATCGGCAATCGCTCGTGCGAACTTTCTTTGAGCGAGGGGGTACTACCTTGCGTCCATGACGTCTTCGCAATTCCATCGCTCTCCATGTTTGAGAGCAAATGAAATCATACAAAAAATTCGCATGAAATCATCACGAACAAATCGTGCTGCTTTGAGGCAGAGAACGGGGTTGGGGGGGGAGGGGGGGGGG